TTTTTTTTTTCTAAGAATCTTCAAATATAGTATTTTTTTTGTTTGAAGTGTTGAGTTTTTTTTGTTTTTTTTCTTTTTCTTTTTTTTTCTATTTATTTATTATAACTACATTTTTATTATGCTTTTGTTGTATTTTTACTTTTCAAAACTTTAAAATGTAAAATTTCAGATTATGATCATCAAAATTTGCAAGGTCAAATCCTTGATAGCGCTCAAAGATAGCTAGAGTCACGATTTAATAGTAAAAGTTGAGAGTAAAGCTTAAATTTTTATGAATAATATAAGCTTACTATTAATTATATAACGTTGTCACCTGATTACTTTAGTAGACAGATATAAATGACGTTTTTCGGCTTTTTTTTCTTCTTTGTTCATATAAAGCTTTCTCATCATCTAAGAATCTTTCTATTAATATGAGTACATAAAATATAAATTTATAGCGCAATTTCAAATTATAATATCTTATAAATAAGATCACTCACGCAAATGTTTTAGTATATCCTTAGCAAGTATAGGAGATAACAAAATTGATATCGAATTTACGAATATATATCAATATGTATGCATTAGTGTATGCATTTGTAGAACTAATAGCATCAACTCCGTAGTTATCTTCAAGTACTTCTGTATTTGTTGCAGGTGTGATCCTATTATCATCAAATTTGAACATTTTATGATAATTAATATTAGTTATCTGACATATTTTTACGATCAAAAATTAATTTATTATTAAAATTCAAACCATTTGCTGTTCTTTTCTGGCTTTAAAAAAACATGATAATTGCCTCCATATAAATCACCACTATGAACAATTATACTAAATATAGTAAAAGGTTATTAATATGTGTTGGAAGTCATAAATATTTGGGATACTGATGCCACTGTTACAAACCTATTAAGTAAATAATTATACAGTTTTGACCTACCTGGTAATAAATATCTTTGTAAATCAATTTCCAGAGGATATTCAAGACGATCGTTTATCTAAGTATAATTCTCCAATCAACAAATTATTGAATTAAATACTAGAGGTCATAATAAAAAATATAGCTACAGTACCTTGACTATATT